GAGGAGGAATCCTCCAACCAAGATCTCTCTGCAATTCTGGTCATGATGGCACATTTCAAGGAAAAAGAAGAGGCTCTTTTCCTTTTGGCTGATGTAAGTGGAGTTATACATTATGATCTTGTGCAATGAAAATGTAATAATTTATGCCTTTCAAATATTACATTGTATTGTACATTAATTTGAACATATTATTGTGTGTGTGTGTGTGTGTGTGTGTGTGTGTGTGTGTGTGTGTGTGTGTAGGACTGCAACCAAGGATGAAATTGAGGCTCAACTGACCCCACCAGGCACACCAAGGCTCATCATGTTAGGTAAGGATTTGGTTTGACACTTTACTTTTGACATGTAAAGCTGAACATGTATTTTAATTCCACATGTTTTGTATGTGTGCTTCATACATGTATGATCTCTATAGTATTTAATTTTTCAGTTTTGAAGTAGAAAACATTTTCAATTATATGCTGCCTTTTCCATTTTGTCCCCTTCTCTTGCAGGGGACCCTTTTACTTTCACATAATTACAGAAGATTTACTGTTGTGATCTGATGTTGTGACCTCACTACTTGTGATTTTGTATTTTAATTGTTCTGTTGTATTTGAATCTGTCATAAACTGTTGTATTTATATCTGTCATGAACTGTTGTATTTATATCAGTTATGAACTGTTATATTTATATCTGTTATGAACTGTCCTATTTTACCATGTTTTTCATATTGAACTTAATATTGAAATGAAATCAATAAACATATTTTATTTAAATTGTATCCCAGTTTTTGTTTATCGTTTCAGGTAGCACCTATTGCAAATGAGACAAGGATCTAAAATTGGTTAAAGAGAAAACTGCAGTAATATACTGTTTTAATGCATACACTACTGTTAAATTATACTGTATACAGAACAGTAATGTATTGTTATTTCACAATACCAGTATTGTATAATCACAGTAAAATATTGTTTTTGAGATTACAGCAACATACAAAATTACAGTAATATACAGTAATATAAAAATACAGCACTGATTTTGATACTGTAAACAAAATACAAGATCGCTACTGTATAAAGTAAAAATACAGTAACTTTGCTGCCAGTAATTTACTGTAAAATCGCCAGTATTTATTTTTACAGTGTGTATGTGTGTGTGTGTGTGTGTGTGTGTGTGTGTGTGTGTGTGTGTGTGTGAGGTGCCTGTTATGAGAAAAAATGTGTTGCTTAGACTGAACTCGAAGGAAGCTCGACTGGAGAATGTAAAATAAATCAAAACACTTTAATTAATTAAATACATTTGACATTTAGCTTGAGCTGGGTTCAATACTTTCTTTATGGTATTTAAATTGGGCTCAAGTAGAACCTTTACATGGATTTGGCTTGCAACACAAAGTGATACTGATCTGTCTGTTATGATTTGGAAGTCTCATGATTTAAAGAGTAGGGCTGTGAAGGAGAGGCCCTTGGAACAACATCTATTTGTTTTAACTGTAATTACTTATTTTAAAGAGATTGCAACATTATACTTTTAAAGAATTGCTCAATTCATTTAACACTTTTATTATGCACACAATAAAAACTTCAACAAATATATCGATCCTGCCTGGCTTAACCAGCGACCTTTACTCTTTTGTTCATAAGCTTGGTTTCAGAAAACTTGTCAGTAGTTTAACAACTATTTGAATTTTAGTAATGTCTTCTATGGAGACCAAATTGGTTGATATGAGAAATAATTTGAAGCAGTTTAATAAAGAATGTTAAACTATATTTAAAACTGTAATTGAACTTCAACTTATATTAATTATCTGAATCCAGTGGCCAGTTGGAATAGATAATCAACAAAGTTTCCATTTTGCAGCAACAGCGCAAAATGTTTCTACAATAATTCGTATTATGTCTGAGTCTAGTTCTGTCTTATCAGCTTTGTTTCGGAATGTGTTCAATACATTACGTTTTTTTCATTATTACCATACAATACATAGATTTAAGAATAAATGAAACAAATAATACAACATTGACCTAAAAGAGCAGACAGATTTTGCAACCCTGACCTCCTCAGGCAGGTTGTTTACGACCAGCAGTGATGCCTCTGAGGGTCTCGGGGTGCAGGACGGGACATAGGGTTTATACAAGGTCACAAACATATCTTAACATACTAGCAATACAATTTAAGAATGTATTCTTAAAACAACATAATCTTCTTTTCTTCTTACACCTAAGCGCACATCCTGAACAGTGTGCTTCTTGTTTACATTTTCCTCTGCACACTCAGATGCAGGACATAAAAACACTCTTTTGCTATTTATTTTCATTGTGCAGCACATTTATACTACCAGAATTTTGCTTTACATCTTTATATTATGTATTTGTCTCAAGTCATTTACTTTTGGTGAGTTAACTAAAGTTTAGTTTATTTTACCCTGGCTATGGACTGATTCATTATTAGTTGTTACAAAACATACACAAGACGGCGGTTAGACAAACCAATATAGACCCCCGATACAAACAATCAGACAAACAAACATGAACTCGTAATAAACATCAGCGCGCCAGCAAAGCTCATCCAGCTCAATTTAGTCCGAATTAAGAGGTTTCAGAGGGGGTAGGGAATTATCTCTATGGGCTTCGGCAGGAGAATTCACAAGACATGTCACGGGCCACGAGTTGACCACACGGTAGAGGTGCCACAATCAATTTTGAAGAACTCCTTCTGTAGCTCAAGGTTTTAACTAGTTCGGAGTGTAATAATCAACATTCTTCATCAGCGAGACTAAACAAATATGGACCCTGAATCTAACTAGAGCTCTCGTCCATAGGAAAGAATGTGCGCCAGGGAACCTACGTTCCTGAACAGTAAATGGCGGCTTGTGCTCTGTCATAGACTGGCAACAACAATGCGCCCAAGCTGCTCCTCCTTAAGAGAGATAGCAGCAATACCCAAGGCCGTAGAACTATGCCATGGGAAAGGAGACAGTGAGAGAAGAAAATGATGAACTGTGTCAAAGGTTGAATACCTAAGCAAATTATTCCCCAAATATTGAAATTTTACTTCATTTATCTGCTATGTGGTTTCCTGAAACTTAAAAAGCGTAATACCATCAGATGCCAGTATATAATATGAAGCATTGTGAACTATGACATCAATTCAGAATTTTAAGTATTTAACAAATAGTTTTAATTAAATGTTAATCTTTAAAAATCTGTGAGTCCAAGTTTAAGCAGTCTGCTTGTTTTGATGGTATTTAAGAAATATAGCAGATTCAAACAGCTTCCATCAAAAAAAAGTAATTCGATATCTAATCCGCTCTTCTTAGGTTGGATAAACACAAACACATTCTGGATGTCATGAGTAGAAAGACTGAGCAAATTACCCAACCAGAGGGAACATTTTGTTTGTTCTGAAGGTAATGTGATGGACAAAGATTTAATTTTCTTTGTTCAATTGGTTGTAATAGGGACATTATACACCCACACAAACACACACAAGCACACGTACACCTACATTCACACATCATCAGCCTTTTATGATTTGATTATGTTGTACCCAACTCATTTCGGTTTTGTCCTAGATTGTCAGCTGTATTTCTCTCTGATGGCTTATTGAAAAACAGCATCAAGCAAATTTGATATTCGCTTCAGGCAAGGCACTCAGAGAGGTTATTAATTTTGAAACATGAGCCGGTAGACGTGTTTCAACGAGTTGAATTTGCACATGTAAAGTCTTATCTTGGGACGCGTTGATTTGATCCCAAGATATCTCTGTAAAAACGCCTCGGGAAAGAAATTAACAACGCAGAACAAAAATGTTCTGTTTAAGCTCCCCAGGTAATAAAGGTCCAGTGAAAACAGATTAAACTATTTTAGTCTTACCTCATCTTTTATTTGGCTATGGAACATTTCCTCAAATACTCAACATATCCTCAAAAGTACAACACACACATTATGTGATTAGTAAAGTATACATTAATATGATGGTTTTCACATTATCCGTTGTATGGGTGTAAAATAAAACGTGTCTCAGTTATGTAGTTATCAGTGTAGTCACATTTTTATTTATTTTTCTGCTTAATTTTCCATAAAAACTATTTCATAGATTGGTATCATGTGAGTGGTGCAGGCCTTGGAAAATTCAATTCAGTTAGGACAGCAAATGCTAAGGATAAAGTATCCATAATATGACTCCAAACAATCAAGGAAATTGTTTTTTTAGCAAATTGACTGAACCATAATGAAGATCTACCATACCCTTCCAATGGTGCAAAAAGTAACTACACTGTTTAATTTTTCTCGAACCAGAACTAATATTAGTTCTAGTTTGATGCTGGTGGGTAACTAACTGTTCGTTGAAATTTGCTTTTGAGAACAGTTACAATTATATATTCGTAGTTTACGTCTACCGGAAGTGGTACAATTCATGTCTGCATTGATGCCGCTTCATAAATATAGATTAAAACAACTGCACATGTATTATCACTTATCACGACTTGGCAATATTTTCTTTGTTAGCTCTCACCAAAAAGCATAATGAACAAATGATATTCTGATCGCTTGTTTTGCTGTATTTTGGAATTTTTCACCAGAAATGTTAGCTTGACTGCATACTATTTTGGCTATTACTTCCAACATAGTTATTTGTCCTCAAGGTCCTCTCAACATGAATAACAAATAGTTATATTAATAATGTACACAATCATTCCCTGGCGCTGGCCGAGTGGTGTAGTTTGGTCTGCTTGTTTCAGTTTGGTAAGTTTATTTTGAAAGTATTCAACGGAAGTCTTGGTACACTTACAGGTCTGCATTGGCGCTGGCTTGACCATACTAAAGTTACAATTCCTCTCTGTGACCACCAGAGGGCAGTAAACAAGCATGATTTACATTTTGGTCAGCTGTCATTGACTTTTATTTCCACCTTTACGGAAAATAATCACTTTAGATAAAAGTAAGATATATATAAAAGGACAAATAAATGCAGCACCAGTAACTGTTACGCTTACATTAGATACATTCAAGTAGGATAACATATAAGTAGATCAAATAACCCTTTATGATCACAGCTTTTTTTCAATTGGACACTTGCTGTTTCTATTTTTCTGATTGGCTTAACTACAAATGATCACTAGCTTTTAACCATGATTTTTTAAAACGTTGGCAGTACCATCCCTAATTGCTTCAAATATAATCTTTAAATGTCCACAAATATATAGGCTGTATCGTGAGGATAATGGTTTAAAATATAATACATTTCTTTCACTGCCGAGTACACAACCACCAATCAGAATCCACGCTCCAGCGTGTTGCTAGGCAGATTATGTTAATATATGCAATGCAGCCATCTCTGCAGCTACCATTCTGAGGTAAGAACAACTTGTACGCTTTACACTAAATGTAAGAAACTAGAGTTTGCTTCACGACTACTTCTTTAGCTCGATTGCTTGGTAGTCTTTCAGTTTATAAGCATTAAATGTGCGGGCTGTTTTAGCGCATTTGAACCGGTAGAAGATACACGATTTTTCTGTCGGTCTCTTCGGATGTGGTTGTTGTCGTTAGTCCCACCCAAAATGGAGCCCGTTCTTCCTTGTTCACAGCAGACTTGAAGGGCTGGGCTCAACTAGAACGGGGGGACGGGTGGTTCTAGACAAATAATGCCGGCTTTTAAACGCTTCAAAAACACTAGTGTTATGAATCGCATAATGCGATCTGTGTCCTGGGGCCTAACAAGTTATGTTTAGCTCCAAGGTCGGCCTTACATTGCGACTATATGACCGTAATGCTAATGTTGCGGTGCAGCATTGCCCGGGTTTCTATGGCGCTGGTTTGTGTGGTATAGTCCAGTTGGGACTGAGAACCTGCGGGGTTAAATAGGGGGGAATTTCACTTATTATTGATTATACCAAGTAGATTTCTGAGTGACTTTACACAGTTGTGATTTTTCACCGGGGCATTTGTGCAGACATACGGTTGTATTTAGACACCGTTTCACCGGCGGCCTCGTGAGCAAACGTTAACCGCGTTTTCCCTGGTCCCCCCGCTGTGAGCTCCCGTGTGAGCGCTCTGGACACGGAGTGACATGCTGCTTTATTTTGGCTTGCATGTCCTGTCAGACGAGCATGACTTGTGTCTGGAAACCCGAAGATCTGGGTTGCAGATTGCAAATGGGGTTGCATTCACAGCCACTTTGCCCAGATATGGCTGCTGCAGTGCCTCACTGTTGCAAACAGCTTCAATGTGTCTAGTGCACATATATGACTGATAAAGCTGCAATAATAAATGATCCATCATCCATTCATTAAATGACACCAGACCATATGCACATTTCAACAGAAAACCCACCTTTGCTTGAAATATCCTAATGTGCCATGATTATTTTAGATAATGCATCACCTGAACGTCTGTAATACATGATGAAATCCATCCATTCACTTTGGTTGTCGTCACCATGTTGCATTTTTTATTATAACATTAAAAATCATCCCCAATCCTTTTGTCTTTGTTCATTACAGGCGTCTTAAGAGCGAAGTGTTCGGTGACGTGATTGGCGACAGGCCTGGCACCGTGCTGCCATGGAGACCAAACAGGAGGAATCCTCTGCTGTGTGGAGTCAGACATCGAACAGTGATTCAGAAAATGGCACACAGGTCTGAACTGTCTCTAAAGTGCTCTATTCAGTCAGTCATAAGCAAAGATAAGGATGCAGAACACTTGATACATCATACATCAGAGAACCAAAAGGGAGAGTTTGAATTGTTCAAAGTGAGGCGGTATGAGGGAGTTATTGTCATATTCAGCTTTACTCTCGCCAAATCTACCAGACTTCATTGACAGAGGCAGTCGTTTTACCTCGCATAATGGTTTGTTTGTGTTATTGAGTGACTATGGTGAACCCAAACTAGCAACATCATACAATAACACGCACTAACCAATCAAGGCAGCAAGGACATTCAAATTTTAGTCTGTTGGCTTTGAATAGATCATAGATAACAGAGTCAGTTCCCGTTAGAAAAGGGGCTGTCTTATCCCAACTTAAATCAAATCAAATCAAGTTTTATTTATATAGCACATTTAAAAGCGATTTTTGGTCGAGCCAAAGTGCTTAAGCAGTGGAAATGTTATTTTAATTACGTACACTTACACTTGATTTTTGTAGTTTGCAACAGCCCCTGTGAGAAGCAGTACATTGCTTAGCTTCAGTGCAGTAGCTCCTGTCTTCTTATCCAAGCTCCTGGAGTGCTGCCATCTATTGTAAGTAATATGCTGACAATGGATAAGTACCTCAACAACCCTACTTCAAACTATCTGATGGGCATATTACAACCATGTCTTTTAAATAGTTTATGCCAAATCCTAGCAGGTGATTTTTCAAGCAGTGGTTTATTACCCTCCAAAATGACTTTAGGACAAACATAAATAATTATAAAGGAGGGTAGAGAGAATGTAATGATGTTGCAATTGGTGTAAAACATTTTGTCTGGTGCATGTGTGTGACAGGTGCATTTTGAAGGTGGCACGGTGGCCCAGATAGTGTACAGTGGCGATCAGGGGGACAGCGGACAGCAGCAGGTGGTCTATACAGCGGACGGGAACTCCTATACCTCTGTAGAGTCTGCAGAGCACACACTGGTTTACATACACCCTGCAGATGGCACTCAGGTAGGAATGATACTCACAATAGCTACATGCATTCATGGGCAGGTCGAGGCCCTGCAAGATTAACTCACACTTCTGTTTTAAACTTTTCTTTCAGAATGTATTCGCTGATCAGCCACAGGTGGCTTACATTCAGCAGGATGGCACCACACAACAGGTACGTTTACCAGGAACTGTGATGTCATTGCTCAGCTGTTTACTGTCTGGTTTATATTGACTTTAAAGCGATTTCATCTCATTCATAGGTCACAGTTTTGCTGCCGAGTGGACAGAACATGAATGCTGCCAACCTGCATGTTCTCAGTAATGTAGCAGAGGCTCCACAAGCAATGCTGGAGCAGGTTTCCCAGGTGAGGAGACTTTGTCACAAGTGCAAATACTTTATCTATATTAATTTGAACACACATTATGGCATATAGAAAGGGAGACATTATTTGTTTGTATTCCAAGTAAGTGGTTCTACTCTGAAGTAGGGCTGCACGATATTGGAAAAAACTGACATTGCGATATTTTATTCCCCTGCGATATATATTGCGATATGAAAAAATACAGGAATTGAAGAAAAGACAGTTCTTTTTGTCCGCAAACCATCCTTTCTTGAACTTTAATGCTATACAATTGGTATTTTATTAACGATATTTAACCGGATGAAGGATTTTAGTCACAGACTTCTGGATCTTAAGTTTTCAGAGCAACAAGCTCAGCTAGCTCGGTTATCCTGCTATGATCTGATCAAGAATGATTGTGATTGGTGGTTTGCTGTGCATGCAGAGCCTGCATGTCACTCACTCAAGTACCCCTGACATGAGAGCCGCGCGAGTTTTCCTTTTGTAGCAAGGAGCAAAATAATTGTAACATGACGTGTTTGAATTTGCCTACTTAAAGGAAACCTATCATGCTATATTTAAATGATATATTGTAGGGCCATACCTATATAAGGTATATTTATACGTTTCTGTTTTCAAAATACCAAACAGATCATGCATTTTAGCCATGCCTCATTTCGCTCTATGTGCTGTTTGCTGTCTACGGGGCTGATCTCTGTGAGGTGCAGCTGACTACGCCCCCCTGCAGGAGAGGGGAGACGTGCTCTGATCAGCTGCTGGGCTGTCAGAAGAGGGGGAGAAAAAGAGATCTCCGTGTTTTATTATATAGAGTCGTTATTCATTTGTTTTAAAGCTCAATAAATAACAAAGAAGACCTTTGACCGGCACTTTTCTAATTTTGTCCGGAAGATTTAAACTTTAACGGACATCTTGACCGGCGAAACAAACTGAAACTGAAACTCTGCCGCACGGTCCCCTCGTTCCTTGGAAGAGGCGGAGAGGTGGGTGTTTGTCATCTGCTGGTGGGCTAACCGGAGAGAATTACAGTGCTTGCCTCGACGGGGAGGGATTGCATTGCAGCGGGAGCAAACGCTTGCCTCGGGAGGGAGAAAGAAAGCCACAGCGGAGAATAAACAGAAGGGTAACCATGGTAACCAAGTCTTCTTCGCTGCTTTTGTGGCAGACTACAGCGCCACTTACAGGCCTGGCATATGTACTACAGCGTCTCCAGCGCTTTCGAACGGCAATGGCCGTGGCTGTCTCCTCCTGATTGGTGGAGTTGGCCCAATAGCCGTAGCGCCACCGTCCTGACGTCAGGACAGTGTTCAAATCTGGATCAGTTTTTATCAGATCCGTTGCAGCCCCTTTTTTAGAGATTTGGGTATGGAGGAAAATAGAGAGGGTTGTGTTTTCTGACACTTGGTGAGTTCCCTGGAACAGCGGGGACACATATTCATGTATAAAAGACGTACAAAAGTGCATTTTGCATGATAGGTCCCCTTTAATATCGCACGTCCTAAAAAAAAAAATAGTCCTGCGATGTGAATATTGCGCATGCGCATAACGCGATTATCGTCACGACACGATATATCGTGCAGCCCTACTCTGAAGTTCATATGTCATTTTTAGATATTTGCAGTGCAGATGTATACAGTTTAATAGCATCAGATGTATGATACACACAAATAATCTATCCTAAATATCACAGGTTATTATTTTGAAATGCTGATTAGTCCCTCAGAATTTTCTTTTTTTTAATTGCTTCTCGACTTAACAACCACAAATTATTTTCTACATGCACGGAATATCATAAGTAAATAATTTTCCTTTTTATATACATTGCTATCTCATTGTTACATGAACTTGCCAGTGTTTCTCACACAACAATACACAGAGCAATCTTACACTTCTCAATTCTCCAACCCAAACAGGAGCAGCTGTCTGTGGCCAATTCGCTCCCCTCCATGGCCGACATGGCGGACCCCCCCTCCAGCCCTCTCGGGGCCGAAGACTCCACAGAGGACTCGGATGAAGAGGAGGATGACGAGTCTGACATGGATGACTGGGAACCTCGTCAGCCTCAGTCCTTCAACCCTCACAGCCTCTGTGAGTGACCTCCACTCTCACACCGTCTGTCAGCAGTCACCATGTAGAGCCCACAGCAGAGGGTCTTTTTCTGCGTATTGACTGCATGAAATAATGATCAACAAATACACTCAGATCGCTGACTTGGCCATGACCTACTACTAGTAGTTTTTTGGTGGCATTTTTTTAAAAACATAAACCAAAAAACAACTCTATGAGATGTAATTTAGAAAATACAAGAAAACATAAAACACAAATGTAATTTGTCTGGCATTCCATTTATGCCCCACAAAATTGTATTTCTTGATATGCAATTTAATCTGTTGTGTTATAATCTTCCCTGAAGTCATTTCCTGTGGCAGTGGACACTTTTTTACTAGAGCAACACAAAGCAGGGCAAACAAATGAAGAATTATATCCCTTTTTTAAATACGTATTAATCTGTTGCTGTGCTGATTTGTGTCTTATTGTTCCCTTTTTTTCTCTCAGGGTGTGACGAGTGTAATAACGCCAACCCCTCTGTGTGTGGGAAGCACGGGCCCCTGCACCCCATCCCCAACCGGCCCGTGATGTCCAAGGCCCGGTCCAGCCTGCCTCTGGTCCTTTACATCGACCGCTTCCTGGGTGGCGTGTTCTCCAAGAGACGCATCCCAAAGCGCACCCAGTTTGGCCCTGTGGAGGCGCCCCTGCTTCCTCAGAGCGAGCTGCAGGACCACTACCTTCATCTGAAAGTAAGTCAGCACCATTTCTGTTTGACGGTTATTGAGCTCCCTTTACTTGTGGGGGTTGTATTTTAGCATTTAGCTGCATTTAGCTCTATGAGTTCTTGTCTCACTTCTAATTTTTGTGTTGTTTGTAGGGATGTTTCAGTCAACTAAAAAGTAATGATATGATGTGATCGTTAGGTATTTGGAAATAAGTCATTTAGCGTTAGACGTACTCAACTCAATAAATCTTAGTCTTCTATCATCAAAACTTCAATAAGTCGACTAATCAATTAACAGTTGGCAACCTTAGCTGTTTGAATAAGGTCTTCACAAAGAGCTATAACCAAAGAGGGCAATACTTATAATTATACTATCCTTACAATAAAACAAAAAAGGAAATATATTTTGCAATAAGAAGGTTTTATAGGAAAGTGTTGGGTAGGTAAGAAATGTGGAGAAAAATCATTCCGCCCACATTTAATCATGTATAAGCATGTTCAGAATCTGATCTCTGATATTTTTTCTGTTTTGCTTAGCTGTGCTCGCTGGACGCAGAGAAGGATGGAGAGAAGTCAGATGACCTGTGGTTGGACCTGTCTGATGAGGACAGCTGTAACTGGATGATGTTTGTGAGACCGGCTCAGAACCACCTGGAGCAGAACCTGGTGGCCTACCAGTACGGCTCGGAGATATTCTACACGTCCATCAAGAACATTCAACCCAAGCAAGAGCTCAAGGTCAGCCCGTGGGTTTGTGTGTTGTGTCGCATGTGTAGTGCACTCATTTTCCTGCTTACTTTGACACTGTGTGCACAAAGTAATACAACTATGGATCAACACTTTTATGCTATCTGTCCAGAACCAAATATCAGACAGGCTAAGTTAGTGACTAGCTGGGGAGGAAATCCAATTCAGTCAAACTTCCTTGTAAGTTATTTTTCTCAGGAGGTTGTGGAGACTAGCCAGAGTTTAAACAAGAGTAATTCAGTCTAAGTAAATAAACAATAAAAAAAACAATTTTTTTTAATTTATCAGTCTTTCATAACAGCACACATGTAAACGCCCAACCTCAACCCACAAATATTAATATTAAATAAAAACAATAATAAAAAGTTAAAGGTGGGGTAGGTAAGTTTGAGAAACCGGCTCGAGATACACTTTTTGTTATATTCCATGGAATGCTCTTAACATCCCGATAGCAATGAATATCTTAAGTGCTTTGACAAAAAATCCATAAAAAAATGTCATCTGTGGAAGCCGTAGTACTGTAAAAAGCACGACCAATCATTTTAGCCGGCCCGGCTAAAGTAACTGGATGGCCTACCTGCCTGTCAGCCTTCCATCTGTGCACAAACTTATCTCGTGCCCTCATTGGTCATGTGCGCGTTCGTGTGTGTTGGAGGAGGGGCTCTTTAAGGAAGTGGCAGATTTCTTCCGGCTGTGTATTTTCAAATTCTAGCGCACTCAAGCTGGTTTCTCCAAAATTACCTACCCCACCTTTAACATGTTGATAAGTACTGTTAGATTTGTTTTTACTGTTGATATATACATATATTTGCTGTTTTATGTTTATTTGTATTATATTTAATTTATAATAAGTGTGCAATGCCCTACATGCTGCTGTGACAAAATAATTTCTCAAACTGGGACCAATAAAAGTATATCTAATCTAATCTAACATAACATAATGATGATAATAACAAACAGATAAAATAATGAGAAGATGTCAATATTTTCTGATTTCTAAATAGGCAACTGTTATTTGTTTTTTTTAATAATACTTCCCTCTGCAGGTGTGGTATGCGGCGTCATATGCAGAGTTTGTCAATCAGAAGATCCACAATGTTACAGAAGAAGAGAGAAAAGGTGAGTCCCTGCACATTATACTTTATATTAACTCAGATCAACACAAACTAGTACAACACTGTCAGGGTTGTTGCTGTTCTCACTGTCTGCTGTTCCGTCAGTGCTGAGGGAGCAGGAGAAGAACTGGCCCTGTTACGAGTGCAACCGGCGATTTGTGAGCTCTGAACAGCTGCAGCAGCACCTCGACATGCACGACGACAAGTCAAACTCTGTGACCAGGTAAACACTTGTTTTATATCTCCTTATTTTATACATTCTCTTTCATTTCTATGGAGATCAAATCTATTTTATTTTACTTTATTTATATAGTGCTTTTCATACACAAAGGTAACTCAAAGTGCTTCACAAACCAAACACATACTGTAAACAATTTTTAAATAAGAACAGTGATATCGTTCTCTTACTAGGTGATAACCAGAGGTGTTAGAAGTATTCAGATCTTGTACTTAAGTAAAAGTAGAAGTACCAGAGTGTAGGAGTACTCTGTAACAAGTAAAAGTCCTGCAATCAAAATGTTACTCAAGTAAAAGTACAGGCACAAGTGTTAGCATCAAATTATACTTAAAGTACCACAAGTAAAAGTACTCATTATGCAGATTGGTCCATTTCAGAATAATATATATGATATGTTTTATAATGATTGATCATTAAAGTGTTATCAAAGCTGGTAAAGCTGCAGCTAGTTTGAATGACTTTGTATACTGCAGGGTAGCTTGTGAATTTACTCCAGGTGGAACTAAAGTCTGATTTAAGACTTGATTATATTTCACATCATTCATCCACATCTGTAAAGTAACTAAAGGTACTAAATAAATGTAGTGGAGTAAAAATACAATATTTACCTCTGAATTGTAGTGGGGTAGAAGTAAAAAGTAGCAAAAAATGTAAATACTCAATTAAAGTACTAGTACCTCAAAGTTGTACTTAAATACAGTACTTGAGTAAATGTGCTTAGTTACTTTACTTCACTGATCTTAACACATTTGTGATTAAAAAGAACACTTAATACCACATCAATAATGAAAATAAACAAAATAAGAATAAATGACGATGAAATAAATGACCCGTTAACGGTTTCTTTCCTCTGTTAGATCCAGAGGCCGGGGTCGAGGAAGAGGCAGGAGGAGATTTGGGACAGGAAGAAGGCCAGGACGCCCGCCTAAATTCATACGTTTGGATCCACCAGTAGACGGCGACAAGACAACAGTAAGGGACGCATTAATCCATAGCATGTTGATTCATGGGTTAGTCGATTGCCTCTGAGAAATTTGCAATCCACATTTTGAATCAGGAGATTCTGGAATTAACGGAGAAGCCTCTGGAGGAGCGAGTGGACGGAGCGCAGAACGGGATGAAGGTGGTGGAGATGGAGTCTGAGGCGGAGGCTGGGACTGAGGCAGAGGGCCAGATGACACCTGCTGCGGGGGGGGCGCTCCTCCCAGAGGCCAGCAGCCCCCCCTCCGGCACCGACCTGCCAGCTCCACTGAAGGAAGACCCGGCGCAGAGCAGCCAATCAGACACCCACCTCACCTCTCAGGACATGCGCCGTGCCAAGAGGATACGGGTAAGACTGCTGCATTCACTGAAATGCAATAGAGCTATTTTATTAGCCACGATTTGCTTTACAACAGTGTGTCTCTCTTCCTCAATGTTTGCTTCCCCTCCAAGATGGATGTGCAGGTATGTAGCAGCTGGAGGACGGCACCGAGACATTCACTTCAATGATTCCCATTGTCATTTTAGATGATGTTAAAGGTCACCTATTATGCAAAATCCACTTTTTCATGTCTTTTATACATAAACATGTGTCCCCTCTTTGTAAAGAGATTCTGAACGTTTCAGGAAAAAAGATCCGCTCACTTTTTGTCCTGATCCATTTATATAAAAACCTGTCTGAAAATGAGCTGATCAGATGTTGGCCACTTTGTGATGTCATAATGTTTATTTGGATTGTGTAATCATTAGCCAATAACCAACCAAGGTAACCCCCGCCCACCTTATCACCTGAATCTCCTCCTAGAGCACCATTGTGTTTTTTTTTAACCAAATATCTCTCAGAGAGGCGTGGCCAGCAACAGCTCATTAGCATTTAAAGCTACAGACACAGAATCAGCACTTTTGAAACAGGGCTGAAACAGAGGGGTTTATGGGATGCTACAATGCATGATCTGTTTGGTATATCGAGCCAAGCACTTCAGAGACATGTTTTGTATATAACTGAGAACTGTAATATATTGATGAAAAAGAGTATCATAGGGGACCTTTAATGCTTTTGTGACATTTGTGGATATTACCCTTTGCAAACCCCATTGACTCCATCAGCCTCTTCCCACCTCAGTGTCTGTAAACAATGTTGCTGTGGTCTGATAGTAGTTCTTCTCTCTCTTCCCTCCCAGAATGCAGCGCTGCAGCAGCTTTTCATCAGGAAGAGTTTCCGTCCCTTTAAATGCACACACTGTGGCAAGGCCTTCCGGGACAAAGACAAGCTGGACCAGCACCTGCGGGTCCACGGCCGGGACGCCTTCGCCTTCTCCTGCCACTATTGCAACAAGAGCTTCATCAGCGACTCGGCGCTGGACGACCACATGGTGCTGCACACGGAACAGCGCTCCTACTCCTGTCTCTTGTGCCCCGAAATCTTTGATAGGCTGGAAATGCTCAAAGAGCACGTGAAAGAGCACGCAGTAAACGGCTGCTTCACCTGTCCGTCCTGCAAGAAAACCTTCCCTGACTTCATCCAGGTTAGTTATCATAACTATTTTTATAGCACTCTTATAAAAAAGGTTACAAAGTACCAAATACCAAAAAAAGACCTGGAGCACTTTGATTTTTAAATGTGTTTGGGTTAGAGAATGTCCTTTAACATGGTGTAGTTAATATTATTTGATCAATGTTTAATGAAAAACACACCATAAACTAGGGCTGTGCGATTATGGCAAAAATCATAATCACGATTATTTGGGTCAATAATTGATATCACGATTATGAAATACGATTATTCATTGACTTTGAAAACATCCATTTATTGAACTTTAAAACAAATACAAATAATAATTTGAACAGTATCTTTTTAACTGTTGATTACCCTGAACGTATAATTCAACTGAAAAACCAATACAAAAATAAATAAAATAAATGATACATTTATATTTACATTTAAATAAATAATATCAAAATAATAAATACCAATAAACAAGATCAACAAATATTTTGGAGCGCACTCCAACAAGCTACTAAACATATATAAATATGATAAATACAAATAAATGAGACTAAAATAAATTAGATCAAATATGTTGCACTGTCACAACCAAGCAAAGCAAAATAATCGTTTTTTTCGATTATGTTGTTTTCGTAATTGTGGCAGGCCAAAATCGTAATTGCGATTAAAATACGATTAATTGCACAGCCCTACCATAAACATGTAATATATGTGTTTAGTGAAAAAAAAAATCGTATTTGGTGAGGAGGAATGATGAAGATTTTTTCAAAGTAGTATCATTATAGCGACAGCAGGAAACAAACAAAGTCGCTGAGAGGCTGAGGCCGGGCCTGTTTGATATTGTGTGACACGCTACAAAAGAGTACTTGCTGAGATCCAAAACTGTGTTGAAAAATAATGTGGTTTAATGAAATCTGGGATGATCAACTTATTTTCCTTGGACGTGTACATTGTTATATTAATCAAAGCAATCATTAAACTTGCGGTCAACAAAAAGTACAACGACCCTGTGTCACCCTCTCTTCCACACACACACCTCACGCAGGTGAACAGGATTATAATGAGTGCCGCCCATATCCATGTGACCCAAGCTAACCAATCAATAGTGATCAAACAAATATCTATATTAAACGAAAACGCATTACTATACACGTTTCATGGCTCTTACAATCATTATCCAACCTTAAAATTCTGGTATTGTGACAACCTTAATTACAAGGATAAAAACAATGGTAAGAACCAAACAAGTCATTGCCAGAGAGGCAAAAACCAAAGAAAAACTGTTAGCGTGACCCAACAAAAACATTTGAAATGTGTCAATGCAGTGTGCAAACAGGCATAAAAAAATACTTTATCTTAAAAAAAAAGAGATTTCATAATTAACAGGTACAATTGATTTATTACTGCTTGTTTCTTGCGCGGGTTTAGCCAAAAAGTGAATTGACACACTTTGTCTTCCTTCTAGGTGAAGAAGCATATCCGCTGCTTCCACTCAGATCGGGTCTTTCAGTGCCAAGACTGTGAGAAGATCTTCTGCCGGCCGGACAAGCTGCGCTTGCACATGTTACGCCACTCTGACCGCAAGGACTTCCTGTGCTCAACATGCGGCAAACAGTTCAAGGTGAGCATTGGAAGAGGACAGTTTTTGGGTGAGGGGAGATAGAGAGAGAGAGAGGTAGAAAAAAAGAGGAGAGAGAGAGAGATATATAGAGAGAGAGAGAGATAGAGAGAGAGAGAGATATAGAGAGAGATAGATAGAGAGAGAGATATAATGATTATAATATATTATAATGTATTATATATATTATTATAGATATATATAATATATATATATTATATATATATATATTATAATGATTATAATATATGTGTATGTATATATGTGTGTATATATATATATATATATGTATATATATATATATGTATATAATATATGTGTATGTGTATGTATATATGTGTGTATATATATATATATATATGTGTATTGATATAATATAGATATGTATATGTATATATATATGTATATGTATATGTATATATATATGTATATGTATATATATATGTATATATATGTATATATATATATATGTATATATGTATATATATATATATGTGTATGTGTATATATATATGTGTATGTGTATATATATATATGTATATATGTATATATATATGTATCTGTTATATATGTATATGTTATAATGTTTGTATGTATGTATTTCTATATGTTATCTGTATATATATGTGTATATATCTATATGTGTATGTGTAATATATATATGTCTATATGTATATATTATATATGTGTATGTGTTATATATCTATTATCTATGATATATGTATATGTATTAATATGTTATGTATATATGTATATATTATCTATGTATATGTTCTATGTATATGTATATTATATATATATATGTATATAGGATAGCTGTGTATTATATATATATAATATATATATATATATGTATATGTATTGTATATGTATCTATATATATATATTTATTGTATATGTGTTGTCTATGTTATGTGTATATATATATATATATATATATATATATATATATATATATGTATGTATATATATATATATATATATATATATATATCCGGCAGTGGCTCAGTCAGTAGGGGCTTGGACTGTGAGCCGTAGGGTCGCCGGTTCAAGTCCCCGACCAGACCTAAAATATGGAGTGTGGACTTCTACTTGGAGAGGTCCCAGTTCACCTCCTGCCCTGCCGTGGTGCCCTTGAGCAAGGCACCGGACATCCCCCTTCCCCCCCTCACTCCCATTGCTCCCCGGGCGCTGTACAATAGCTGCCCACTGCTCCTAGTACTAGACTCCTGGCACTAGGATGGGTTAAAAGCAGAGAACAAATTTCACTGTGTGTGTGCTGTGTGCTCTGCATGTGTGACCATTAAAGAGGGTTTCATCCCTCCCTATTCTATTCTATTCTATTCTTCTATATATATATATATATATATGTGAGCTGTTATGTGACAATGATTTTCCTGTGACATCCAGAGGAAAGATAAGCTGCGTGAGCACATGCATCGCATGCACAACCCCGACAGAGAGGCCAAGAAGTCGGACCGCATCCATCGCTCCAAAACCCTGAAGCTCAAGGTGCCCACCACCGACTTCGAGAGCTTCATGTTCAAATGCAGAGTGTGCATGATGGGATTCAGACGTAGAGGAATGCTGGTGAGCAACAACTCGCAGAGAAATGTATTTTGTTTTAGATTATATTCCATTATTCTTACTCACTTTTTTTCTGGTTACAGGTCAATCATTTGTCCAAGCGTCACCCAGAGATGCGTATTGATGACGTACCTGAGCTCACGCTGCCAATTATCAAGCCCAACAGGGACTACTTCTGCCAGTACTGTGACAAGGTTTGTTTCCCCCATCCAGTTGTGTGACTTTAGGACAAGATGTCTTATTGGTTTATTATTACAGGGCTTACTTGATTACTCGATTCTGACCGCTGTTAAGGTGAACAGACCGTTGGTTAGGAGGATCAAGGGACTATTTTCAGTCATATCAATCAGCAGAAAGAATTCAGGCCGATTTAGCGTCAGCTGTGGACAACAAACATACATCTTTTCATCAGAAAACACCAAGGAATACTTTTTGAATATTCATTTTTATCTATGTGGTGAGCACAAAACTTTGGAAGAAAAAGAGAAAGAGGTTAAAAGACAGACTATGGATGTCAGATAATTCAACAGAAGAAGACAGACAGGAAGTAAACACTGACGGGAACATGTATGGGCTGTATGGACGTGGACATAAATGATCGATCAGTGATGCTTGGCTTTGGGATCCTGATAACCATGTTGGTGTTTTTTTCATTAAAGGGGCCCTATTGTGCTGACTTTCATATTCAAATGTGTATTTTGTGCCTCTACTGTGACATATTTCCATGCTGTAGTCTCAAAATCTGAACCATAGCTTTCGGTATGATAACACATTGATCTCCTGCAGGTGTATAAGAGTGCCAGTAAGAGGAAAGCACACATCCTGAAGAACCACCCCGGGGCAGAGCTGCCTCCCAGCATCCGGAAGCTGCGTCCCGCTGCTCCTGGAGAGCCGGACCCCATGCTGAGCACACACACACAGCTGACCGGCACCATCGCCACGGCACCGGTGTGTTGCCCGCACTGTGCCAAACAGTACAGCAGCAAGGTCAGTGTGAAGATCCTTCAGAGGTCTTACTTTATCCTGTGTCCTGAACCGTACCATCTAATATGTCGTGTGTGTGCTCATTTCTCAGACTAAGATGGTTCAGCACATCAGGAAGAAGCATCCAGAGTTCGCCCAAATCGCCAACTCCATCCAGGCTCCTCTCACTACAGCTGTCATCAGCAGCACTCCTGCAGTCATCAGTGCGGACGGAACCACAGCAGAGGCCGTAGTGGTAAGAAGAAGTTAACAACGAAAGAAAGAAGAAAGTGTCACCTAATATACACCAGATGTCATAACGGTACGATATGTATTTTCTCCACAGACTACAGATTTGCTGACCCAGGCCATGACGGAGCTCTCTCAGACTCTGACCACAGACTACCGCACAGCGCAGGGAGACTACCAGAGGATCCAGTACATCCCAGTGTCTCAGGCGGGGGGGAACCTGTCGCAGCCGCAACACATCCAGCTGCAGGTGGTGCAGGTGGCTCCGGTAAGATCCAGGATCAGTTTGAGGATTGAGATCTGTTTTTGTAACTTCTTTTTTTCCCTGTAAAGCTGACCGAGCTACTCAAAGAAACCTACTATCAGTGATAAACCTTGACATCTGGGAGTTGCCTGGTATAAACACAACTTGAGATGCTCAAAATAGAAATATAGTATAATATAACTCAATTGTTCTTCAAGTTTTATTGGTGTATATATATATATATATATATATAATTTAAAATAACACCAGCTGCTTTTAAAAATAAAGATAATGACATCTTTGTTACATATACGTTTCAGCAGGTAAAGAACCCTCTACTTCATGCCGTATTCTAAACATTTAGTGTTCAGATGAAATTATGAATGTAGCTTCTTGCGTGGTGTATTGAGATGAATAAACCGTAACAAATAGATATTTCTCTCTGTTTCACAGGCTTCCTCCCCACATTCCCAGCACCCGACAGTGGATGTGAGCCAGCTGCACGACCCTCACGGCTACAGCCAGCACGCCATCCAGGTTCAACACATCCAGGTCAACGAGCCCTCAGGCGCCGGACAAGGGGCCGGACAGGTACATATTAATACTACTCTAGAGTAAAGTTGATGAGTCATTTATACAATTACAAATGTATGTCCCATGGAACAGTTCACCCCAAAAATATTAATAAAAACAAAGATTTGTCTTCTTACGTGTAGTGATATTGATCAATTTACACTGTTTTGAAGTTTAAGAAGTATCGACCATATAGAGCTCTATCGGATATACATATGGAACACATTTCTTTGGTGGAAAATGTGTTACTCAAGATAATCCACAGACCATGTTATGATATTTTTGTCATGCAGGCACTATTTTCTTTAGAACGTATCACTGCGCAGAAGGAAGTGTGCGAGAGACCATTTTTTTTTAGCACCACAAATCGAGTACTATCTAGTGCTACTATATCCAACAAAAGGCAGGCTTCTCTACGGCTGATACCAGCCACCACATGGCAACCCAATTTCGAAAAAATCTAGATTGAAACGTAGCACTTACAGTTAAAAGAAAAGTATCTAGATCTTGGTATAAAACCGTCCTTTCAGGCTAGATAAGAGAACACCTCTGTCTCTTCCCTCCTCTTCAGGTCAGCGGTCAGCCTCTCAGCCCCACCTCCCAGCAGCCCAGTCAGGAGCTGAGCCCCACCCAGCTGACCCCTGTGACCTTGGCTCAGAGCCACACCCTGCAGAGCAGCAGCAGCCAGCAGCAGCAGCAGCAGCAGCAGCAGCAGCAGCAGGGGGGGGCAGTGCAGCACGCATACATCCCCGGGAACTGGAACTACAGAGGCTACTGTGAGTCACACATGATCCCATATGATCAATTCTATACCTTTTTGATAGTTGTGTAGAGTTGCGGTGATTTTCTCTCCTGTTAATGTATTCATTTCTTACTCTGGCAGCCTCTGAGATCCAGATGATGGCTCTACCTCACGCCCAGTATGTGATAGCCGAGTCCACCACACCTGTATCCGGAGGCAACAGCAACCAGGTGAAAACGGTGAGTGATGGTGCCTGATTCCTGAAAGTGACTAGTACAACCTGCTGTTATATAAATAATCACTATTACAGTTTCATTTGTGTACACCCTTGTTCTTACTTAAAGACAACTATGCACATTGAGTCCTGCAGGAATTACCATGCATGTCCATTCCACACTCTTTAGGAGGAAACTAATTTGACCTCATTTACATAATGATTTTTGTTGGTTGGTGAACATTAAAAAAGACAACGTCTAACGAAGCTAACTAGACTATACATCAACCGATCAGACCCTTTTTTTTTTACCATTAGCATCAAATCAGAATATGATGCTAATGGTAGCTGTTGGTAATGGTCCAGTTCTATAACCAACCTTTAACGTAAACTAGTGCATATCAGACACAATTCCATCTTTATCGTATCCCAGCTCCCAAGGGATTCTAATCCATATATTGTCCTTTATTTGGTTGTAAATGTATCGACACATTCATGAGTGGTGCTCCATTTAGGCAGCAAGCTAGGTTTGACCTGGAGATCAGTGGCAGAAAATGATTGAATTGGTCAAACCTGTATTTCCACAGAAGTCAGGGTCTGCCTGAAGGTTCTGCATGGTTTTAAAAACATTTTTTATGAACGGATATTATTACAACTAATACTGAAAATTGCTCTGTGCCACATTGGTATATAGGTCAAAAAACGTCTTGAAGCTTGACATATAAACAGGACGTATATTTAAACACCCTTGATACAACACATATATCTCATATGGAAGAATGTATACTGAATACAACAACTTTGCTGCACCCTAGAATCTTCTTTACATTTATTTCAGCTTTTTGTATTCAGTGTATTAATCTTAAAACTATACTTACTGTAACTCTAAAGTCAAACTAGGGTATGTGTGTAGCTTTTAAACACATGATTTAGCTGTAGCATTGGTCTCCTTCTTTTGAGCTAGCCAGATGAAGGTATGCGAAATGTGTTGTTTGCTCTTCAAGTACTTGTAAGTAAATAAATAGGAAATAACATAAAAATCTGTATTGAACATTATCACTTGTCCTCCCTGTCCTGCAGACACACTACGTCATCTCTGAGGGTCAGACTGAGCTGGAGGCAAAGCAGAACGTTCCTCAGAACACAACCCAGGCCCACGCTGAACATCTGGAGCAGCAGCCGGCCCATCAGCAAGCCACAACACAGTACATCATCACCACGACAACCAATGGCAGCGGCACTAGTGAAGTCCACATCACGAAACCCTGAGCTGCACAGGGATAAACTCTGCGAACTTGGAAGAGTCCTGCATGTATACCTCAGCAGCTTGTATGCACATACCTGAACACACAGTCACATGGAGACTTTTATACAGAGGAGGATGGACTGATGAGCAGCACAGTTTTATGTGTCTGTGAAGTGTTTAATGAGCTGTGGAGATGCAAGCTGCCAGAACTTTGGGAGAAAATAAACTGAGAAATGCAAAGGTTTGATTTGAACCGATGATATAAAGGACAGAAACTGAACTTGTTTTAAATACACAGCCCTGGAGAACATTTTAAAATGAAACTGCTGAAAACAGGGACCTAAATGAAATTCAGTGTTCCTGTGCGCGTGGACAATAAACGCAACAAGAAGTCCTTCTGTGTGACCTACTGGAGTATGAAGTGGTGAAATAGGTTTGTTGTTCGGTCCTTGCACAGATTTGAGTGCCCATTAAACATATTTGTATCATTTAAAACATTTCAAGTATTTGTAGATAACAATTATGGAAGGATATACAGAACTGGAAAATATTGGCAACACTGAAACAGTCCTGCGTTTGGCCTTACATAACAGGTCATTGTCATTTTGCCCAACACACCATCTGTTGTATTGAGTGTAACCAACGTAATGCTGTTATCTGTGATTTGTCTATTAATTTGTTTTTGGTAAATGACTCAGATATCTGTTTTATTTAAATGCTGGATTGTCCTTTTCCCCCAAATATATATTTTCATTTGTCATGGTCACAACTACAACACCTGTGATTTTATAGTAAATATTCAAGAAGATATTATTATTGCTTTCCCAAGAATAAGTACATTTCGTTTTACAAAGCTAACAGGATAAAAAGAAGATAATCATCACAGAAATATGGCAAAAATCATGTAAGTACGTCCTGGAGAACACAAACACACCACTGCAGTAAGACAAGTTAGAACACTTTAGTTCACTTTCTTTTTCTTGATTCTTACAGTTCTCCATCGTTTCTTTGCATTGAGGATATGTTTAAACCAGAGCCACACAGCTGGTCATCTGTCCTAACGGGTGAACACAACCTTTTGTAGAAGCTTTTAGACAGACAAGTGAAAAATATTTGTGTTGTAAAAAATGGGGACAACTCAGAAGCTCAATAAGTTGCAGTATTTAAGGATAATAAAGGCCTATTCCACTCTATTAATCTATTCACCTACAACATATTGTAAGCACTTCACACACAAGTATGTGAGGGAATAAGTATTGGAGAACACAGGCTAAATGAAGGGCCATTGTAAAATAGAGTTAACGTGTTAAAGTTATTTATATCCGTCTATGACAATAGGCCGTGTACAATTTAAAAATATTGCAGGAATGTAATCGGTTTGATCAGGTAGAGCGATGATTTTGACCATGTGTTGAGAAATTAAATTATTTTATATCTGTACAATGTGTTTTCTGATGACTTCAATATGAATGTGTTTGCCTCAATAACCCAAACTATTCCAAGGTGTTTTCAGGTTCAAACTCAGTTTAAAGAGTCCCTATTATGCTTTTTGGAGTTTTCCCTTTCCTGTAGTGTGTTATATCCATTTTTGAGCATGTAAATGTTCTGCTAAGGCTAAAATCCTAAAGTTCCTCAAGAGGGAGTTTCTTTCTTTCCCCTCACTGCTAGATGGTGGTGTGGCCTCAAAATACAGAAACAAGTTCTACAGCATCTTACAATTAATTTAGAACATTGAACAGACAAACTTAATTAGGGTGTACATGATTTTGATTGGCTCTCTTCCATTTGTCAACATGTATTTTTAATAAATGTAATTTAAATTGTAAATGTAACTCTTCAGATCCCAACAGGTTGTTGATCACCTGACCTAAAAATAGCTCAGTGTTAGTGTGTGCCAGTGATTCACAGAACAGAAACTTGATTTTTTTGGAGGGGTTGGGTGCAGCAGGGCTTGTCCTGAACACAATTGTCATCAGTATGTCTAAACATTCCTTCATGGAAGGACGGTGGGAAAAGGAGAGAGCCACTACCTACTTAAAAACCAATCCTCCAGTAGAACCAGTTTATCAAGCTGGTCATGTCCCAGGACTAATAACATACCAGGAGGTGTGTATGTTTGATCTAATGGCTCTGGTGCACTTTCAGTCAGCATGTGTGTGTCTGTGGTGCCATGCCTCTGCTGACAGTGGTCCACTCTGAAGGTAAAGGTGGTACAGGACAGGGAGGGAGAGCAGATCGGGTCTGTAAATGGATGGAGCTCAAAGAGGACGAGGAGAGGAGGAAAACTCAGCAGAGGTAGGTTCCTGTGTGTTTCTGGCCTTTCCTTTGAATCAGCGTCTGAGTGGCAGGTCTCTGATTACCTTCTGCTACGGGGAGGAGAACATCTCTGTTGACAGCGTGTGTTTTTCTACTCTATTAGGAAGATGTCTCTCAACGTTACACCTCAGGGTCCTACTGTTTACCAGACATGAGCTAAAAGACCTGAAGTGTCTATCATACAGTACAGTGCTGGTGTAGGGAGAACCATCTGTTGCTCAGCTGATCCATCATTGTAAAAGATTGACCAAATGGTGTGAAGAGTGCAAAACAAATCTGTAACTTTCCTACTCATGGCATCTGTTGTTCCCTAATATCTTCCTAGATTTGCGAGAAATTAATGGGACATTTCAGGGACTTTCTTTAGTAACAATATGACTTTTAGAGTTTTATAATTAGATTTTTTTTTGTTGAGTAGGCTATGTTTGAAGTACACACAGTTGCATTGTCAGAAAATTATTATGTTTAGCATCAAGTGTAAGTATAAGTATGTCTTAGTAATCTAAAAGTATGTCTTAGTAATCTAAAAGAAAAGTACTTACTTGAGGCTAGCCGTTAAAAAATATTATTCTCATTATTGCAGTACCTCAGTAGATATACACAAAACAATCAACAGACACTTATAACAATCAATTTAGATGCAATACCATTACATAGTCACTATCTCTACATTTATAGAGACAAATCTACAAGCGAAGCACCTACCAACATATACATCCAGAAAAATCCTCCAGGGCAACTCTCAAATTACAACTCATAACAATTACAAAAAACAGCTGAATCATGGTCAAATCAATGTTGACAAGACTTGGTTGGTTGCTGAATATCATTTTGAATGTTTCCCATCATGGGAAAGAGTGGAACTGTGTGTAAGCTCAACAAAAAGCATACTCAGATGCCTATAGGTACAGCAAGTAAGCCCATTATTTAATTATCAATAAACCCGTTCTGTTTCCCCTTTCTTCAGCAGTTCACACCAAACCCCAGTTGTTGATCAGCCCCAGCACACAGGTTGGTCACAGACTCTGAAGACGCTGCGCCCCTGGAAAGGCTGCTCCCGTGTGGCTCCTGTGGTTGTAGTGTGGTCAGTGTGCCAGGTGGAGGCGCCGCTGCACCCCTCTCTACTGCTGCTGGATGTGTGCGGCAGGCTCCTGCTGGTGTGTCTGCTGTGGATGCTTCTGGGAGGCTGTGTCCATGCCCTGAAGTGCCGCCTGCGGCAAGGGGTGAGCGCAGAGGCCTGAGGGGAATCTCTCCTGACCGTGCTGCTGGATTTAATCATGTCATGCTTATTCAGTGTGTTTGCTTTTATTCAAGGGGGAGCCTCCACTGAGGATACAGCAGGAGGTTGTTATGGAACACAGGAATGACCAGTATTTATGGTGAGAATTAATTTTATTGTCTGATATTTTGGACAAAAAAGACCTTAGAGCCTATTTCAACACTGGTATTTCATGCCCCAAGTGCATAAACAGTTGCCCACAGCTTTAAAGGTCCCATGTCATGGCCATTTCTACTGATCATAATTCCATTGTTGAGGTCTACTAGAATAGATTTAAATTGTGCAATTTTCCAAACTCACATTGGTTTCTCATACAACATCTCTGTATAGTATGTGTATTCACTCTCTGTCCTAAACGGCTTGTTGGAGCTCCTGCCCCCCCCCCCCCCCCCCTCCCTGAGCCCAGTGTGCTCTGATTGGTCAGCTCGCCCACTCTGTTCTGATGAGTCCACCACCGTTACAGCGGAACATCAGTGATTATGTGTTACAATGGCGTTTGTTAGCAACCAGAAAATGACACCGGTAATGACAAACAGATGAGAATGCTGCGTGGGGTCTGGGTGCCGTGTTGGCGGGACGTTTTGCGGCCGGCAGGCGTGTCTGAAGCTCGACCAACAACCAATCACATGAATCTCCCGCCCCGGACACACAAGCACACGGTGTGATTGGCTACAGCTTGTACTGGCATATGATTTGATCGGCTGACGCTTCCGTCGAAGCTTGAAAAGTTTTCTCAACTTTTGAAGCGAGCAACGGAGGCAAAGCGAAGCGACGGAACCACAATGCAGTTCGGCAAAGCGTGACGTCACCCCATTCAAAGTGAATGGGAAGCTACGTCAACGCACGCCGCCGTGTGGACGGGCCGTAAGCACGCCACAGTTTTGCCGCTGCAAGGCTCCACTAGCACCACCAACCACCCCCCCCCCCCCCCCCCCCCCCCCCCCCCCCCCACAGGACCAATGGGTCCATTTGGGTAGGTATTGGCTTATGTCAATTTAAAGGATACATACAATGCTATTTTTTTTGTTCATATTTGTATTTTGGGATTCTACTGGAACACCTATTCATAGTTCATTGTTAAAAAAACTACATTATTCTTCTCATAATGTCTGTCTGTATACACCTGTATTCACCCTTCATCTGAAACGCTCTGTTTTAGCACCTGTCTCTTTAAGCCCAGTCTGCTCTGATTGGCTTTGAGAAAAATAGAGTGCACCTTTGTTAAGGTAGTTCCCACGTTGTTAGGTGGAATATTCCTATGAGCCTGCATGTGACATAGGAAGGGGAACTTAATCTGAACAGCTTCAGATGTCTTGAATCCCTCATCAAGACAATCTACAAACACTGACTGGGTTGTGTTATTCCAAATGTTGTGGACTAGGCACTCCAGATACCACTCGAGCATGTGCAAAAGCACTTAGAAATTGAGTTCACATGATATTTCCGTTTAAAAAATCTGCCTTATCCATATTTGCTATCAAATGCTTTATTTACCTATTTCTCAAAAAAGTAGTAGTCATGATCATGAGGCATGGCCAGATTTCTTAATTTAACCATATATTCATCGGATCAAACATCTGTAATTTGAAAAGCTATTTCCAACAGAATAAAAAAAAATCATAATCTTTTAAAACAAATCAACACACATGCTCACTGTCCTCTCATCATTTCTCCAGCATGTCCCCACCGGGGAGCCCGAGCCCTGACGCTGCTCTGGCCCTCGCCCTGGTTGACAGTCTGCTGCTGTGTGTGCTCCAGGAGCCGCTGCCAGACCCCGGCGTGCCACACATACAGGCTCTGCTCTCCAGGCTGGAGGTAAGAGGGAGAAAACCTCCCTGAAGAATCAAAAAACCCTCTCGCATACAGAGCAGCCTCCAGCAATACCTGTCATCTCCTGTGTTCTCAGCCTTTGTTGGTGATATTAGATCAGAGCTTGCACTCAGGCATTCACAGATATTCTAGCCCGGGGCAACACTCTCTGCTGCTGTCGTGTGAACTCAAACACGTTGGCAGAGGAGAACAATATTAATGCTATGTCTCCTTCTGTATTTCCTGTCTGCACATTTGCACATACTATGAATGTGTTCCATGATAGCAGTTAGCCTATTTGGCCATAATCCTAGCTTTCTAACCCCCAACAAGTCCAGTGGTACAGCTGTCATTTATGACTAAATATTTCAACAACTAATGATAGAATCAGGTTTTTTGTCATCTTAATTCTAACAATGTGCTTACATACTGGGGTAATTGGTCCCTCATTGTGGCACCAGCATCAGACTCATTGAATTTGCCAGGAGAATTACACCCTCTAAAGACCACCAGTAAAACTATTCACTTTTTTGACTCATTTTGATCATAATCCCCCCTCCAATGATTCTTTTCTGAGGTCATTTATTTCAAAATTGTCTTATATTATGGTTATTCTCTTGGGTGAACCTTTTTTTAATTAAATCTCAACTGTAGATTATTTTTGTCTGAAAATATGTCTTGAGACAGTTTCATGTGTACAGCAGATGTGAACGGATATAAAATGCAAGTAGATTCCTTGCACACATCTCCAAGAAATTTGTTTTGTAAAGCACTTTGAATTGTCGCGTACAGAAAAGTGCTATATAAATAAACTTGCCTTGCCTTGCCTTGCCTTATGTGAAAGCATTATGTACATACAAATTAAGTGACTTTAGCTTGATGTATTTATCCCGATCGCTGCAAAGCCACATGATGCATACATTTTAAGTGCCAAACCAGACAAACCCACAAACTAAACCCTAACCCTCTGAATCCTCCTTTTGGCTCTAGTCAGTGTCTCACACACTTGAGAAGGCTGATATCAGGTCTGAGTTGC